ATTAAGCGGAGAAAAAAAAATGAGAAGTTCAACGTTTCGAAAAGCTTTGAAAAATGACGCTCTAATTATAGCAGTAATTTTTTTTATAAAATAGTAACAAATTATTATGCTCTTTCAAATAATGAAGTAAGCAAATGACTACAATGAAATTTCTTGGAAAAATCTGGGACGGATAATCAAAAATCTATACACAGAAAAGAACAAAAAACATTTTCCATATTTTTCTAAAAAGAACTCAATTTGTCAGCAGATAATGACAAAACTAATGAAAAATGTTGACAGAGATGGAGACTTCAAATAAAAAATCATGCCATTTATGAAAGATGAGGCATCGGACTGTCTTCCTATGCATTTACCTTAATTTTCCTTTTTTTTTGACAAAAATTGACTTTTTTTTTAAATAGGTGGAATCAGCGTGCATTGAAACGAATGTTTGGCTAAAAATGAAAACCACATCTTTTTTCAAGTTTTAAATGTAGAGAAATACACTTTGAAATATTGTCTATTTGATAATATAAATAACTTCGTTACAAATTTCAAAGAAACTGAAAAACCAATTACTCAAAAATTAGCCTAAAAATCATGATGTCACCGAGAAAATTTACATTTGACAAAATGAAACTATTTCATAGGCAAATCAAGTCATTTTTTACAATCTAGAATGGTAAAACATATTGTTATAATAGCTTCTGATAAAGAAATTAACAGTTTCTTATACAGTGTTATCCGAGCGATTAGTCCTATGAAATGAATAATCCATCTAGATTCAACTTCGAAGCTTTTCAAAATTTTGTCATAATATCCTTTCATATATTATTTCTAGTTACTGTTACCGCAAACATTCCCAAATTGCACAGTAGACTTCCAAAAAGCTCTGGTTTTTCAGGTATTTGTTTTTGCATTTTAGACTTAAGAAAAATACTTAATGAACAAAAATAGTATATTTAGAATTAGCACATTAAACTGAGTCGAATTATATATATTATAAAATAATTTTGAAGAAAGAAGTTTTCTAAAAAAGAAACGAGGCCAGAGTGCCCTCGGGCATTTTTCATTGAAAAACTTTTTAAATCTCTTTTTCCATCATATGGAATCATTTCTGAGCAAAAAAACTTCGTTTCCGAATAAGAAAGTCATGTATCCGTGTGCTATGCGAAAAATGCATTGTGGAAGTGACTTATAGAGAAGTCTTCTCTTACATCCGATTCATCGTTCCTTCAATGAATGCTTCTAATATTGTTGGGAGAAAGGTATCAATAAATTTCAATGAAATTAGGTTAAAATCCGTGCACATAGTTTCTTTTATTTTAAATAAAAAGCAAATATAAAATTATAGAATATGTACTAAGCCTTAGTCTCTATGACATATGAATAAATCTTTTTCGTTGATGTACTTGAATTAATAAAAATACTTGTTTAAACTAATTTAACTTTGTAATATACGTAATGAGAGAATAATAAAATAAACTGTTCGATGAGATTTTTTTATAATCAAATAAATGACATGAAATATGTTTACACAATCATAAAGAACAAAATGACAAACAGTTCAAAAACAAAACAAAGTTAAAAATAACATATATATGTATATATATTACGAAATAATTGCTCTTCCTAAAACAGTTTTAAGATTTTCAAGTAATAATGTTTGTTCTAATAATTCTTGTTGTACTTGAATTTTTTCATTTTCTAATAAATTTATTTGTTCAATTTCTTTTTTAATATCCCAATTATGTTTTATTGTTTGAGATAAATCAATAAAATCTTGATTTTTTTTATCAAAATCTGTTTTAGCAATTGAAAGATCTTGAGAATGTTCAATATTTAATTGATTTAATACATTAATTAATTCAAGCATCATTGTTATAGCTAATTCAGTATTACGTATTAATGTTGTACGATCATTGAATTCTGCACGAATTTCATCGGATTTTTCAATAAAATTATTTGTTTTAGAATTAATTATAGATCGTGTACGAACAAGTGATGCCATTGATTGAGATATAAGTTCAGATAATTGTTCATCTATTTGACGAGATTCTGAAAATAATGTTTGTAAAATTTCTGCCTAAAATTTAACATAACAAAAAAAACAATAATTTTGAATAAAAATAAAATCAAATAAATCTACTCCGTCTGTTTTAAATTTTGTTACTTGCATAACAGCTGATTCAAGACGATTTTTAATTTGAATAAAATCTTCTTCCATACGTTCACGTTCATAACGTAAGTTTTCTAATTGTTTATTACGTTCTATTAATAATTGTTCTTCATATTCAAGTCGTTGTTCACGTTGTTGTAAATATTCAGTTTCTTGTAAAAATGCAGCAGCTACTTTTAATTGCATTTGTGAAAGCATTGTTTGTAAACTTGAATATGTTGTTGTAAATGAATCTCGTGTTATAACTGATGATTGATGAGCTATGTCACGTTCAAGACGTAATTGTTCATTTAATGATAAACTATTTATTGGTGTATGAATGCCTGTTATATGTGTTAGATTAAGAGCATATATATTAGAATTAATTTCACTATTTAATTCAATAGGGATGATTGATGATGTTTGTTCTTTTGATGTAAATATTGGTGGTTTTAATTCATCTGATGATGGTGTTGTTGGACAGTTTCGATTTATTTCCATCATTTTATTTAAATTATATGTTTTCAATAGAAAATAGAAGAAGAATGAATAGATGATTTGTTTGTTAGAGATATGGATATATATGGATATTTAGTTGACATAACCACATCGAGGGTAAATCGATGAATCACTTAAAGAAACGAGAAAAATATCGAAAAGATCTATTCGAAAAAAAAATCTTAAAATCAATTATTTGTGAATATTTATGTTGTTTTGAATTTAGTTACAAAGTTATATGAAACATTTAGGAAATTTTTGTGACATTTGAATATCTATTATTATGAAATTGTATTTACAATTAAAACAACCAAGAATACAATTTTGATAAAGATATACAAGATGAAGATTCATTGGTTGTCAAGAATGAATTTTGATACTTGATCTAATATTAAATTGTTTTTGCTAGATTAATAATATTTACATACAATATGATGATTTTAAACAATAATTAGATATTAATCGATATCAATTGATATAATTATTGATTAAAATTTTTATTTCAAAAAAAACTAAGAAATAGTTTGTTGTTTTACAGAAGTTTAAAGGATGTTCCATATTAAATTATGAGAAATTGTCAATACTATTTTTCATATTTTTCGTGTCGTAAAAAACTGAATTTTTTACCACTCATATACATATATATATTGAACCGAGCACTTCAGTTTTGGAAAATTTCAACTCACTAGCTCAAACTCGTATCAAAATGCATGAACAAGAGTAGATGTTTGTAATTCTCTTTCTGTGATATATTTATTATAAGATAAATAAATTTTTCGATATAACATTTCGTTGTTCAAAAAAACGGCTTCTTGAGGCGGCAAATTTAAAGTGACTTTATGTGCAATGTGGTTGAAAAAAGTAATGATGTTGATTATTCATTTTTCTTTTTCTTCTGCAGTATACACTTGATAGTGATCAAAAGCAACATGGTAATGGTAACATCTGGATAGTTTTCATGTACCCATCCATATCACTATTAAGTCTGACCTGAAGAAGAGAAATTAAAATAATTAGTTAATTTCATTACTCTTTCAACTAAATTGTATACATATTTATTTTTACCTTGTCTGAAGAAGTAGTTTCAACCCACGAAATGTTTCATTGTAAAATTTAAATATTTCCTAAAAAAAAAACCTACATCCAAAAGAGAATTAAAAACATGTAAAAAAAAATCTATCTATAATAACTTTCTCACAAGATAAGCACGAGATTGAAATACATAAATTTTCATATCAGATTTTAGTAATACTTTGTTAAATGTTTTAAAAACTATACAAAAATATATTCATATTTCAAGTTTCTGTTTAGATTGAATAACAAATTTTATCTTAAAAGTCCATTAGTTACAAATGCATACAAGATTTTTTCATGTGTTGTATTCAATTTGAAACATTTAAAAAACACATGATGTATTAGTGTTTTATGGTTCGTAACATAATTATTGTGTAAACATATGGAAGCAGTAGATAAAAAACAAGGCTCTATTGGATGATCTATAAAGATAATTGAATATATACGATCTGCACTGAAGAGAAAACGTTTGTTAGATAAATCAATTGCAAAAAATATCAACTACAGCCGAATATCGAGAACAATGAAGAGCATATTTGTATACATTTAATTGTATTATAATTTACAGTTTTGCAAAATTTCTTTTCATCAAGTCTTGATACAATAAACATATATGTGACAAATATCAACTACGAAAACAAAGATCATGTATTTCAGTGAGTCACTTTTACCTGGAGAGGTCAAATTTTAGAATGTTAAAGATCTTGGTTATATACAGATGACACAAAATTTCAACTTTTTACGTCAAGACAAAATATAGAAGATATCGTTGATAATTTATTATTAGTTAATATGAGATACAGTCTCTTATATCATAAAAATTTCATTTTAGCATTTCGAACAAGACGTGAATAATTGACAAATTTTTTCGAAATAATTTTGCTATCTGTATAGCTTCATTTTTTTTTTATCAAATTATTCGATCGTTTTTGATAGACATCATTTTTTTTATTCATTTAGTGACTGTCGAATGACATATATAGTGAAAAAGAAACAACCAGGTACGAAGAGTATGACATGAAAATTATGATACTATCTGTAATTGGTATTTCGTCAATAGGAAGGAAGAAATATTGATACATAAATATTGTGTAATTAGTTTCATTCTATTGAAACAACGTGTTTTATTAGAAAAAATAAAAATAAAATAATTTCAAATCAATTTTCATTAGAAATTATGTCCAATGAATGACTATGGAATAGCATTATCATTACCACACAATAATCTATTGCTGACAAAAATATTTGTTTTTTGTTTTTTGAGATGAAAGATTTTAATCAGATAAAACTAAGCTGCAATAGTTGTTTCGACCAAATGCATATTCTTTAGAGCATATAAGAATATTGTTTTTTTCCAATCATTATGAGTAATTTTTAAATTTGTTGAAAGTAAATTTATTTTAATATCATATTTTTTCATATTTGGTGTTCGATTTTGAATAATGTTAGACAATTCAACTAAATCGAAGTCTTTTTGAAGAATGTTGGATCTATCAATAGTTAAATAAAGTTGTTCAAGATAAGGCATATGTAAGAGTATTGAATCAAGATCAAATAATGACACATCAACACGTAATGAAATTTTTAAACAAATAAGATTTGAATGCTTAATTGAAGGAAAAGAAATTGATTGATCTGATGACGGTAAACTGACTAAAGTACTTTCAAAACTAGTTAAGTTTGGTAGATAATATAAAAGATTTAAAAGTGTATTTCTATGACAATAATTTAGACGAAGTGACTGTAATGTCAAACATGGTTGATAAGATTTATAATCTTTAAAATAAGAATCTAAGTTAGGAAGCCAACAGGTTGTTAAATAATTTAATTGTTTATCACTAAAAATAATATCTCCTAATTGATTGTTTATTGAACAAACAACAATATCAAGTTGTTTTAAATATTTGAAATAATGTGATTTAATATCTTCTATTTGTTTATCAGTTGCATGACTTAAATGAAGTGAACATAAATTTTTCAATGGAGATATATCGATATTTTGATGGTAATAATAAATAGATAAACTATCAATATGTTCTGGTAATTCTTTAAAAAAGACTTTGGATTTTTCATAAATTAAATCACTTTTTAATTTAAGTTTTAATCGTTTTGAATTAAGTATTGCTTCAATGCGTTGATTAAGTCCAGAAAAACTATGAAATAAATCCAAACATGGAACATAAGAAAATATTTTAAGCCAAAGCTCGTCGGGCAAATATTCGATAAATGTCATTTTGCTAAAAATCATTAATTTGTAAGAATGAATGATGGTATATATACATACAGACTATGTTTACCTATAGAATATCGATTTGTATTTTTCCTTTTTATTCATATTGATTCACGATATAGTGACGCATAGGAAGAAGAAAAAAAAATTATTACCAACGTATGTAGAGATAGCATTTTCTTTCTTAATTAAAAAAATATTCTATTTCCTTTTCATACTTCATTCCAATCAGATGAACAAGGGAAAAAAACGTGGAAAAGTGCAATGCAATTTTAACGAAAATTAAATCATTAAAAGTGAACATTTTTACGTGTTTATAATTCGTTACAGTTTCCGAATCAATATACTATGGAGGCCAAATGAATTTCCCTCCTTTGTATTTTTTTCTTTTTATTACTATACGTCCTTTAGTTTTCAACTTATCATATATAGCGAGAAAGCTTAGAACGAGCTGCATCTTTTGATATATTTCGGTTGAAGAATCAAATGGAGTCTAAAGTGTTAACAATGTATTAGAAAAAAAAACAGTGATAATTTTTTTCCAAATTTATATATACAGGGTGACCCAAAAGTCACGTACCCAGAGAAAAATATCGAATATCACTGTTATGGCTCGAGAAAACGAGCTGATTTTTTTTACCAATAATAGAGGCATGCTCAAGCTTTAAATTCGCAAAGACATGCATAGAGAGACCCTCTGTTGAAGTATCATTATTGACCTTAACAAAAAATTTTTGTTTTTCACAGGTACCAAAAAGAAAGAATATACTTAACAAAGGGTCTCTCTAGGCATGTCTTTGCGGATTTAAAGCTTGAGCATGTCTCTATTACTGGTAAAAAAATCAGCTCGTTTGCTCGAGCCGTAACAGAGATATTCGATATTTTTCTCGGGGTACGTGACTTTTGGGCCACCCTGTATATATACACTTGGAAAAAAAAATTATCACTGTTTTTTTTTTCTAATACATTGTTAACCCTTTAAACTCTATTTGATTCTTCAACCCAAATATATCAAAAGATGTAGCTCGTTCTAAGCTTTCTCGCTATAAATGATAAATTGAAAAATAAAGGCCGTATAGTAATAAAAAGAAAAAAATACAAAGGAGGGAAATTCATTTGGCCCCCATAGTATATCCATTTGAAAATCTAATGCATTATGAATGCGTTCCCATGTAGCTATACCGTTTGCTATTTTATTTTCGTTAAAATTTGAACACGTTCTATGCCCTTGTTCATCTGATTTGAATGATATATGAGAAAGAAATCGAAGAATTTAATTTAATTTATGCATAAATTAAATTGAAAGTCAATATTAATTGTCATCCCTAAACGTACGTTTTGTAAACATACTTTAAACAATCAATAAATTATGTCTAAGAATGGGTTCTTTCTTCTTTAAAGAGATGCATCATTTTTTCTTTGTTATTGATTGTGCTTTTATGAATCCATCGAATCCAGCACTATGTGAAGATTTTCATGGGTTATTTGATGCTTGTCAATAACATATATTGACAACTTTTCTTATATGCATTACTGAAAAACGAAACTTTAATGTAAGGTATGATAAATAGAATCATAGAATTATATTTTTCTAATTAAAATAATTATTGGATTTTAAACAAATTTACCAAATACAAATTTCAAGAATCAGTAGATTTAACATTGAAACTCATGAGGTTATTATTTTTTAAATAAAAAAGCAGATTAGAAGAGTTTTATATAAAATTAAAGGAGCATTTGGTAATTTTATTTTGAAGAACAATGAAACTTTCACCTTGATCAGCCCCTTTTTCTTCTGTGTCATATTTCTTTCATAGCAAAAATATTTTCTTATAAATCATATAAAATGAACAAAAAACAATCAAAAACAGTTATTAAACATGATATTTCTAGTCACTTCACGGTCATTTATTGAAATGCATATAAAAAGTAGACGAGACAAGGTGTTTGAGAACCAAACATAAACAAGAAAAAATAATTATATATGAAAAATAAATGATTTGCCATGTGATTATTTGCTTTTTGAAAAAAAAGTGTATTATTTTTAAGAAAAATGAATTCTGTTCAAAGAAAGATGAATTATTCAGGAAATAATTATAAAACTGTGTACAATGAGTAGTCAATGCTTACATTCATCTTAAATTTTATTCGAATTAAGGAGGACTTTCCTAATCATAGAATTATGTAAAATAGATAAAGTATACAATCTTTCGAAGATTATACAAACATATTTTCACTAAATGTTTTTGTTTAACTTTCTTTATTAAATATATATTTGCGTAGGTCACTATTTTACACATTATAAATTCAATTGTAAAAACTCGAAAACATAATTTTATTTTTGATATATATTTCGAGAAAAATGGTACAACAAATGTGAAACTACAATGCAAATTATCATCACATATGTCTCAAACAAATCATAAACAAATAATATTTGATCAATTTTTCGTTACCAATACAAGAATCAGAAATAAAAATCTTTTACACTATTCCTGTGCATGATTCCTGGTGAAGTTTTAATCGCGTAAGACAAGTCTTGATCTTTATTACGAATTTTTCGTACGATATTGATTTTTCAATAAAAATATGCTTATTAAATCTATAATAATTTCTAATCAGTTAGTTGTCAATTTATTTTGGCAATGTAAAACATTAAAAAAAAAAAAGAAAAGAAAATCGGATATATTTATCCAGACTATATCATTAAAAATGAAAAAAACAAGATGAAATGGAAATTAATTAACTATGTTTGTTCATTTACTTCTCGAATGAATACTATCTAAAATTTGTTTTAATAATTGTTCAAGTTGTTTTGAATTAAAATTAGCTTCATTAATACGTTTTGAAATATTTTCATATGTTTTTTCTTCATATTGTTGATATATTTGTTTTAAATTTAATTCTTCATAAATATCTTTAACACATTGAATTTTATTTTGATCATCATAACCATAATTATTACAAAGAGTTTCTCGTTTAACATCGTTATTTTTTAATAATTTAATAGCTTGAACAATAAGCCATGAACATTTACGTTCTTGAATATCAGTACCAATTTTTCCTGTTCGATTAATATCACCATAACAATCAAGATAATCATCTTGTACTTGAAAATAAATACCAATATCAATTGCAATTGATTTTAGTTCAGAATGATCAACAAGAAATGATGATGGAGTTATTAATATACCACAAAAAATTGGTAAAAGAATTGTATAATAAGCTGTTTTCCATGTAACAACAGTATAATAATGTTCTTCTGTATAAAGATCAATCGATGGTAAATAAGATGGAGTTTCTAAATCAAGACCTATAAAAACAAGAAGAAAAAGAAAATAATTATTTGAAAATAAAAAAAAAAGAAAAGAAAAGATTTTATTAACCTTGTCCAATAACAGTTCGTTGAAAAACTTCATTAAATAAATGATATAATTTAATATTTGTTGGAAAATATTTATTTAATAATGTAAATGTACAGGAATATAAATAGAATGAATCATTTACAGATGATTCTTTTTCTTTAACTTTTAAATACCAACAAGGTTTTCCACGTCGTGTTAATGAATGATCCATAAGATCATCAGCAATAAGAAATGATCCTTGCATTAATTCAATACACCAACCAAGTATAGCTGCTTGTTTTAATAATGATTCATCAACAGATTCTGATGATATAGCACGAACAGTATCAATAACAGTTGTACCACGAATTTTTTTTCCATCACTAATATTATAACTGACAGCTGTTTTAAAATGTGAAAGAACTTTTTCAAGATAAACATTCTTTGATGTTTCTGATGAATAACTCAAAATAAGATCTTCTACTATTGTATCATAGTATGAATTTAATATTGATAAACTTGAAGATGAATTCATCATTAAATTTAATAAATCTGAAAAGAATTTTATTTAATTATTTTTATCGAATATTAAATTAGACATCCATGTTGATGAATTGAAATGAAAATATGTTTTGATGAATAAGATCTTTCTAAAGGTTTTTTAATTAAATATAATATATTTTGCCTATGCAACAAGGGGGAAACGCCAGACTTGAAGTACATCAAAATACTTTAAAATTATAGAGAAGTACTTTAAAGTAGTGTAAATTACTTTGAAGTATAAAGTCTGCCGTTTCCCCCTTTCAATGAAATGATAATAATGGATAATTTAGTTTTTGAATGAAATAAAACATCAAACTATAACTTTAATTATAAGCAGAACTAGGAGAATACTAGAATCAAGAAAATAGTTCCAGCTTTATAATGTCAAGAAAAAGCAAGAAAATTTGTTACAAATTGTATTCATTGTTTTCCATGGTATTTGTTATGTCTGGTAAGTTTTCTGAAGAATTTTTGGAGAAAACCAAAAAACAAAATATTTAAAAGCCTATTATTGCCAGTCAAGCGAAAGAAAAAAACCGATTTGCTCAATAAAATCCTGTTAAGATACTGAATTTTAGATAAGCACAACTATTCAAAATAACATGAAGAACTTTATAGTGTGATTTTCAAAAGTAAAAATTTTCTATTAACAATAAAACAAAATTTAAAAAAAATTTTCAACCCACCAATGCACATTAGTTGATATAGTTTATTTACAAATGCAACACATATAAATACAATAGAAAGAGAACGGTATGAAAGAAAAAGGTAAAGTTAAAGAATAGAAAGCAGTATGAGAACATTTATATATTTCTTGGTTTGTGTACTCATACGATCACGCCATGTACTTAACAGCGGTTGATTTCTAAAGAAGATCGTACCATATGAAAGATAAAGTAATCTATTATCAAGAGAACAAAATATAATTATATTATCAAACATGATCCTCTTCACAATTCCGTTACTCTTGCAACTATTGAAGAATTATTAATTATGAAATTCTTTTAAAGATGAATATTAATTTGTCTAACACTTTTCTCTCCTCACTTTCTACAGAAGAAAATTCCACTTGAACTCCGATTAGTTTCAAAAGTTTTGTAGATGAATTTTTTTGTGTTGTAATTATGGCTTGACTTACTTAGAAGTACAGAAAGGCAAGCGATTCCATACATCGATATTTTCTAAGTATCTAAGAAGTCTGATAGTTACCAACGAATCAAAACTTGACTGCTATACTTTTCTAGCTCGATGTTATCAGATAACCTAATCGATACATTCATCTTACTACTTTTCTTGTTCACATATTTAGCTCGCATCAGCATTTCTTAAGTCTTAAGATAGATACGTTGTACTGCACTTATTGTAACAATCTGATTTGACAGTTACTAACGAACTTTGAAAAAATTGAAAGAAAACCTTTCATATGGCATGTATCGATAAGGTTCTGCTAGATGGCATCATCTTAGAGGTTTAAGTACAGTTCAAAAGTACAAGAAGATATATTTTGATTGTTTTGAAAGAAATATAAAGTAAATCCTTTACTATCATATGAGTGTTTCAATAATGGATATCGTATTCATCTCACACTGGTACTTACTGTTGAAGTCCTATAAACTTTCGCATAATTACAACTAATCATGGTGAAACTTTGTGAAATGTCTCATTTTTCAGTTAAAGATTTGCTCATATTTCTGTTAACTTAATAAAAATTTACATCGTTTCATTTCTAGACTGTGTACAATTTCATAATAGGAAGAAATCCAATAGAATGGTATTCAAGCACGAATTTTTCATAATTACTACTAGTTCCTGAACAAATGTTTCTAATTAATGTTCATTCACATAAATTTTTCAGCTCATGAAAAATATTCGTCTTTTATTAATCTATTCAATAACTTGCAACTGATATTCTGCGTTCGTTCGAATAGAGTGGACTTCTATTTTCGAGAATGAGGCTTATAATAAATAGGAAATAATCAACTGCATATAAATTCTAATTAATAAGAATATTATTAGTTTATTTAAAGCGATGCTTTGTCAATTAAGCATTCGTAATGAATAGCTGAATGGACGTATACCACTGCGTACCACAATTAAATATTTAACAGTAATGAAAACAATATATTCTATATATAAATAGAGAGAGAGAGAGAAAAACTCATTTCAGAGATGTTAGATGATGAAAAGTCTCGATGAAAATAATCGGATAGAAGATATACAGAGATGTTTATATTCTAAAAATTTAAAATGATTGATTAATCTGAAAATATAAGACATATCTAGTAAGTTTCAATAGATTTACTTAATATTAAAAAATAGAGCTATAAGATAAATAGTTTTATTATTGAAAAAAGTCGCTATTATCATGTTCCAAACAAAAATCTATACAAAAATGTATTTTTCCTGTTTTTCGGATTCATTTACAGGATGTCACAAAAGTCATCATACTAATTAATACTAAATATACATAATCATACATTTAATAAATTCTAATCAAATAAATACTATTTAACTTTCGTACTATTCATATGAATCAATTATTCCCATTTTGAAAATCATACGTTGTTTATCATATGAATATGTCTAGTTTCAAATGCCGGTTTTTTTTCTGTACTATTTGTTTTAAAGAAAGAAAAATTATCATTCTAATATTATCTCTATGAAATTAAATATGAAAATAATATTAATTTAATTCGAATAATAGTATAAAAATGAAAACACATAGATAAAAGAATTTCAAATGTTTTGCCTATTATTTTGATATATCATAACAAAAAGAAGCTGTTTAGTAAATCAAATAAAATAACTATACAATTTATAAAATTGATCTAAATCTGAAAGTATATCAATGATTAGAAAAAGCATTCGAGACAACGAACAAAAGAAAATAAATTATTATCTTTAAATTAATAATAATAATAACGAGTGGTCCAGGATAACCAGTCACACTTTATGTTTCATCTTTTTTTTTTAAATCTCTAAACACGTTGTATTAAAATACAAAATATACTAGAAGATGCAACGTGAAAAGTTCTACAATTTTCATAAGACTGCTTATTTTATAGTCGCACAATTTGATTTCAAAATGGGCTAAGTTCTGTGCAACCAGGTTTTGCACAATCGAAATTTTGTCGCTGAAAATATTGTCTATTTTGACAACAAAAAATGCAACTATAAAATAATCAGCCTTATGAAAATTGTAGAACTTTTCACAGTGCATCTTCTAGTATATTTTTTTTTTCATACAACATGTTTAGAGATAAAAATATGAAAGGCTAAGTGCAGCCATTTATGTTAGTTTCAAGCAAACTATGAACTTTAAAATCCACCTAGAGCATTATTCTCATGAATCAAGATTTCGAGAACCTTATTGTATAAAAATATTAATTCCATCATCAATTGATCGGAACTTTCTTCTATTGAAAAGTTTTTTAGAGTCTGAAATATTTTTAATATGAGACATCTTCTCTTGACAAAGTTAATAATTTCTAGAGAGAACGTCTACTATGTTCATTTCAATAACTAAGCTATGCTCGTATCTTGATGTTCTATTTATATTGCTCTCATAATTATATGTGTGTAATTTATATCTTATTATCATTCCATGAATTTTTCTATCACACTAATTTTGTCATAGATATTTACAAAGTCTATGAAATACTTTCGAAACTTTGTTATAAATTGTAGAAAATTTTACAATGCTTTCAAGATGTTATTTTTTCATATTTTTTGTTCAAAGTCTTTTGTATTTACGATGGAAATGTTTGCATAGTAAGTAAATACCGTTAGACATATTCATATCATATTAAAATTCATCATCAAACTAATAAATTTAAAATATAGGTTATTGTTGTTGTATCCGAACCGAGATATTCGAATTTTAAGGTATTTACAATATATATAACGTACTTACAATTAAAAGAAAACAGAACTTTAAATCTATTTCTTCTTGTATTTAAAAATAATGATGTCTTGAACTTTTTCGTAAAATATTTTTTTCATTAATTTGAAACATATTTTTTTTTTGTTTTGCATTCTACTTAACGATCTCTATCCAAATATAACGAAAAAAAGTTCTGCTGAAATTTGCTTTGTGGAGTACATTACATGCACTGTAAATATTTTAAAATTCGAATATCTCTGTCAAGATATGCTAACAACAGTCTACATTTTAAATTTGTTAGTTTAGCGATGACAACTTTAATTTGATCTAAATATGTCTATCGTTATTATTTTTAAGACAAATAGTTAATTTGTTTATATCAAATAAGAACTGTTTTTATTTATTAAATTTTGAGTAAATTACTAAGTAAATTTAGAAAGATCTTGATTAAAAACTCACTAAAAATATTTTTTTCACAAAGTCTTTATATTTCTTACAGAAATGATTCATTTGTCAATTTTACTTTGTTGATATGACTTTTGAGGCATCCTGTAGAGTAGAGTAAGTAGTAATACTTAACTCAACTATTCCAAAAACAAGTTAAATAAAACCAAAACATATAATCATGAGTAATTACAAAATTAGTTCTATGAAAAATTTCTTGATTAAAATGTGATAAAATTGTTTTAATATTTTGTACATTAACTGTATAACGAATATAAATATTTATTTTAATTTTATTTAATAATGGAAATAAATTTTCACCTAAAAGAATATTTTTCCATTTTTGTTCATTTAAAAATCCACGATCCCATACAGATCCAATTATTTCAAATGATTTTAATATTGGCATATGTTCTAATAAAAATGAAATTTCTTCAAATTTAATATCATTATGAAGACCAATAGTTAATTTTTTTAAATTTAAACAATTATATTGATTATAAGTTCGACTATCAAATATTCTTCCATTTGAATTAAGCCAAACATTTAATGAACAAAGTTTAGGTACATGTTTTAAAAGATTAAATAACATATCAAGTGTTATCATACTTAAATTCATATGTTTAATTGTTTGAGATTCTAGTAATTGATTATCAACAATATAAAGAGTTGGTGATAATTTTATTCGACATTTAAATAATTTTGATAGAGAAAGAATTTTATGAATTAAAATATTTGTTGGTTGACCAAAATAATCATTATTAGTTGATTCTATATTTAAATAATGAAGTCGAGGTAAATTTGAATTTTCAATTAATAATAAAACATTATTTGGAGATAAATTTATTAATAAAAGTTTACTTATTCGAAAAAGAAATCTATCTAATGGTAATGTTATATTTGATACTAAACGAGCATATAATGGCGTAAAATTATTGTATAATAAACATTCAAATCGATAATTCAATGATGAAAATGCTTGATAAAGTTCAGTTAATTCAATAAAAGAAAATATTTGAAAAAATATTTCATTCGGTAATTCTTCGAGCATCTAAAATAGTCAAAATCAAATATGCTATTTTTAAATTTACGAAAGAATAATTCAAATAAGATGTTTTTCTTTTTTTATTCAATTAGAATATTCATTGAATTTGTTTTTTATTATAGTTGACTCAATAATTGTGTTAGGATGATTGAAATGGTTAAATCAATTCGAGACTTATGAATAGTAAGTGATTTGTTTTTTCAGAGAAACTTATCAGGAATTCATAATAAGATTCGATGAAGAAATAATTGATTTTAGAATTCCAACAGATTTTCAAGGTTAACAAAGGAATTATTTCAAGTGTTTCATTATAAATGCTGAATCAATTATTGCAATAAAAAGCTTCTTGTAACGAAAGAAATTCTTCAAAAAATTTTTCATACTATAAAAGTCAATTTAGCTTTTTAACTTGTACAAACTAAGTCAAACATAAGTATATTATAAAAAATTGGAATCTCTCTACTTCAGACCACTCGAATTGATGAACTTTTTTTTTTATTCATGATAGACATCTTTCTAAAGTTTTACACTCCATATAGATGATAAAAACAAGCAAATCCTCGTTTGAAATATCATTATTAGCTGGACTACAGAACTATACATGTGTTCCTTAATGTTATTGTAAAATGCAATGTTTCATGTTTAAAATTAAAAATATTGTACGCGTTATCTTTTAAACGAACTAATTTTAAAATATTACTCTATAAATCAATGTGATACCATTAATAAGCATTATTTACATTTTTTCTTACTCTTATCTTAGTTAAAACTAAAACAATATTTTATGACTTACGTCCACCTATGTTTTTCTTACTTGGCAATAGAGTTCGTCGGGCTAGTAGGAAACCTGGTTGTATCCAAGTTCGAAAACTTTGAATCCAACGGACTCTAGTGTAGAGTGTGCTAATCACCAAATGAAAAAAAAAAAGATGTCAAATTTTCGAGGCGGCTATCCAATAACAATCAGAAAATTTCATTGAGAATATCAATGTATCATTTAATTGGATTCAGGTTCAAAGGTTTTAAATCTGACGAGCTTGACTTGGCAACAGAATTACATCTTTTTTTTTATCCCAGACAATAATAATATTTCAAACAAGTATGTATTTACTGATTTTCTCTGTATGAGAAATAACACTTGACATAGATATCTCTCATCAACAAAAAAGATCAATTCATTTTTTGATTGAATCAAAATGGAAATATTGGAATTTTTATATTATACTTATGCATGATTCAGACTGAATGGTCGAGCTGTAGAAAGATCCACTTTTATATCTATACCAACACCAACCCATATGTTTCTCAAATTATTTAGATTAAAGTTTTCGTAAGATTAGAAGATCGGTGATATTTGTATAAAAATATTCTAATAAAATAACTTCTATCTAGAATTCATATGGGACATACACATAAGATGAAATAAATCTTAAGAAAATTTCATTTTATTTTTTTTTTGAAAAATTTACATAATCAATTAAATTTTTGTCATCGTTTAAAACAAATATAATTTAAAAACAATGAATTTATTTTATCAATTTTTAATTAAGAATCAACTTAATAAATACACAAAATTATTGTGTTAAAAAGACAGAGATTCTAGTTTATATACTAAAAGACAAAAAACGAAAAAAAAAACAATCTTCATGACTGTCACTGCCGTGTTTTTTTTCTCTACACGAAGACATACACACATATTGAACATATACACAATGAATGAGAAAAACAATAGATTTTTAAACAGAAACATATTAAAAATACCGGTAAAACAAAAAACAAAAATTGACAATTATTTATTTTCAATGTCTTCCACCACGACCTCCATTTCCATATCCAAGAAAACGTGCTGGTCTATTTATATTTGATGTTGGAATATCATTGAATTCTCGAATTAAAACGGTTACACCACTTTGATCCGTTACTTCAGTTATTGTTGTTGACGGTGAAATTTTCTTTGGTTGCCATAAAAATTCTCGTATAGATTCATCAAATTTTGGTGTATGACTAACAATTGTTTCTGCTTTTTCTTCTTCTTCTTCTTCATGATCAGATTCTTTTAATAAGTCAGATAAATCTTTTTCATTCGTTTCTAGTTTTTCATTTCGACTTGATCGAAGTTTATAAACTTCAACTCGATCATTATCAGATGTTTTCTTTGATAAAAAATCATCATCATTATTTTCATCATTTATTGTTGGAGGAGAAACAACAGCTGATGTTGATATATCTGATGATGTTGAACTACGTAAACGACGTATTCTTACGGAATTATTTGAACGAGTTTTTATTGTTGTTTGACTTTTATTTACACTATTACGAACTAAAGATTTACTTTTTTGACGTTTTCGATTTCTATAAAAGATTTAATAATAGAAGAAAAAAAAACAAAACATTGTAATTTTATTTTTCGTCGTTTTCTTTTTGTTTTTGATTTACCTGTTATTGAAATCTGCAATAAGTAATTTATCTAAAATATGTTTTTCAGGTTCCCAAGTATTCCATCTAAAATTATAAATATATTAATTAAATTAATATAAAATAATTAAATAACTTACTTAGCAGCCCATCCTTTCCATTTAATTAGATATTCAACTTTTCCCTAGAACAAATAATTTTTTTTATAATATTATTTTAATTTATAATAAATCAAACATTTCTTTGCATCGAATCTGTTCCATTGATATTTTAATTGTTAGATCTTTGTTTCAATATAATTACGAGAGAATTGTTTCGACTCAAATGAAATTATGAAGGGAAAAATAAACTAATCAATGATAATCGTTAACATACAGAATCTAGACATTTACAAAATATGAAATTTATTCTTTTTAATCAATTAAAAACTATCTTTTGTCTTTAAATAATAAGAATGTATTGCCCTTCTTAAGTATATATTCATGTAATGACAATCTTCAAGTAAGTTATTTATCAAGAGAAAAATTCAATTTCGAATTATGCACATGACTATTATGGCTGATTAACTACCTTATTCGATACACATTTCATAAGATACTGTATGAAAAAGTCGATATCATTCGTTGGATCATATACCGACCAGAGCTCCGCGGGACAATCCTGCGCTATAGCGTACGCTTATGCGAAGCCATCTAAAGTTGCACGAAGCACACACACTTTTTCATCTCATAATCTGATAGGCTATCGAATGACACTGAGTATTGACGCGGTACTTTCATGTAGGGAAAACAGAAACAGGCGCGTAAGTGTGAGCTATGGTGCGGGACTGTTCCGCGGAGCTTTGATACCGACTATGTTGCAACATACACTTATTATTTTGGATAGAATTTCCTTAATTAGTGTGTATATCGTTTTGAAGAACTCTAGTTCAGATCGATCTCTTGTCCGAAGTTAGAACTTTATTAGAGTTGTAGAGAAGATTCATTATGTAAATGCTAAGAATACTCGAATCTTTTTCTTTTACACAAGATAATTAATCAATAATTCAAGAGTTGAAATTTCGAATTAGTGTTCGATTCGTGAAAAATGTTTTGTTTCTCTTCAAAAATTTCAGCGCTTTATTGTCTCTTTTACACTAAGCAATTCCTAAAGTTATTCAGTTTTAGCAAAAATCTTCTGAACTATCAATCCTTCATACAATTCAATTTGTCTTTTCAAATTAAATTATCATTAATTCTTACTTTTCGTATTCGTTTAAGTAAAATTTTTTCAGCTGTATATACAGGTGCTTCTTTATCATCAGGCATCTAGAAAAACAAAACAAAAAAAATCAAATAAAAAATTTATTTTTCTATTCTATCTGACTAAATAAATAAAATAAATGACAATCGTATGACTAATTAGAAATAAATATCTAATAAGTAAAACACTTTTTTTTTTTTTTTTGTAACAAAAATAAATTATTTCTGAAAGTTTTTATTATATCGTTTAAATTTTTTTGAATTAATATCATCATTATTTAATTGTAGATCACATTGTTTAATAATAGAACGTCGTTCATGCCATTCATCTTTATCTGCTATACGAATGGCTATACAACGAACTATATTACTTTCAGATTTTAATCGACAAATAACACTAAATTTAACAAAATAAATATATAAAATTAATTAATTAATTAAATATTCTACCGAAGTTGAACATCTCGATCAATATTAGAAAATGATTGATCCATTTCAGCAAATATACATTCAATACGATCTTTTTCATCAATTAATGAAAATTGACGTGTATTTGTTGATGATAATGATGTTATCTGAGAATCAAGCTTACCTTTAACAAAAAAAATATTAAAATAATATTTTAATTAAAAAAATTTAAATTTACCAAAAATTTCAAATAAAATTGGATATGATAAATGTTTATTTGTCCAATGTTTCATACCTTGAATAGTTGATGTTACTAATCGTAAAGATTCATCTTCTGGTAAGATTTTTATTTTCTATTATGAACAAAAAAATATTTAAGATATATTATTTTAAAATAAGAAAAACAAACTGCTGTAAATGAATGTTCTTGTTTAACACGCTTTATTAATGATGATTGTGTTTGAAGTTGTTGTTGTTGTTTTTGTACAGATGCATAGTTACTTGTAGGAACATCATATTCAAATGAATCATTTTGATATTCATCTATTTTACGTTTTGATTTATTATTAATATTAGATTGTTGTGCAAGATTTGTTATGTTTGATAATGGACGAACATTTGTACTGAGTAATGGAATATGACCTGATGATTGTCGTTTGAAAACTGTTGAAGATGATGAACAAGATTTATTATTAGTCATCAATAATCGATGATTACTTGTCAAAATAGTTTGATCATACATTGTTTATTAAAGAATATGATTATTAATGCGTATTAAATAAAACTAACAAATGAGATTTTATTTAAAATTGGGAAAATCTGTCATTGCCAATCAAGACCATTGATTGAATAGATGTCATCGGAAGAAGCTATAGCGAATCATAATTAATTTAATTATTATTTATTATTATTGACAACGAAAAGAATATGAAAAATATTTATTAAACTTATTTTTTTTCCATGAAATGCTAAAAAGATTCATTTTCTTTCTGTTATCGATGAGCTAGAATATAGATGTCGCATTCATTCATTCATTTCAGTTGACCCATATAATTATTTATTCAAAATATAAATACATACGACAAGAGAAACATTCTTTCCAATATAAAGTACTTAAAGTGAATTTTCGAAATTTTGAAAGGGGGGTAACAATGTGAACAGGTTATTACCAGTGTTTGTAATGACTTTTCTAATATTTTCTATTATCAGCTGTTGAAATATATGCTGTGATGAAGAAATAAATCAGAGAAGAACTTTTAGTTTTCTATGTTTTTCGTTTCTGAGAATTTATCAATGACGAAACATACATATATCATAGCTACCCAGGTCGTTCATGCCCGACCGTAAACGGCCGTACATCAATCATTTACGACGAAAAACGACAGCAGTTTACAGTGACCGTTTACGACAGTCATATACGACGTTTTACGGCGTATTGCGTTAACCGTAAACAATGACCATAAACAAACGATGCTGGGATAACATCGTACGATATCGCAAACGACAGTCGTTTACAGTGACCGTTCACGGCAATCATATACGATGCTTTACAGTGTGTTACGCTCATCCTAAACAATGACCGTAAACGTTAGCCGTTTACGATTACTGTAATAATACGGCGACTGTAAATGACACTCGGATTATACCATAAGATATTGTGAGCGCCAGTTGTAAACGATGTGATCTAAGATCATCGTTTTTTTATTGTAGTGTCCTTGCACAGTCGTTCACGACGACGAACTACTTTTCTTAGATATAGTGGCAAAATCAGAACTTCACTACTAGAAGAACCGAGCTTTGAAGCACTTTTTTCAAATCTATCAAAAATAGTACAAGTTTTCATAAAAGAATCTGAGATCGACACCGTCCCCCCTTGCCTTGAAAAATTCTCTTCACATATACATTCTATAGATTTTTATCAATAAATCAACAAATTATCAATTGTTAATTTCTGATTTCGTTTAAAAAATTTTCTGTCCACATGAAGATTTTTCTACGGTTTTGTATTAAGTGTGGAAAATGATCACTCTAGAAACAGTATGCTGAATATTGTGGTATGGGGTCTCTCAATTAAGGCAGATTTGTGTAAGATTGAAACTAAAATGTTTAATTAGCAGTATCTCTTGAATACACTGGTAAAAAAAGACTGCGAAAGTGGATTTTGGTTTGCTCAGTGCACATCAGCTAGACATAATTTTTCTCAAGATCTAATTTGACAAATTCTTCTATCTGAAATTGAATTTGCAGGGTGAACTGCACGTACATGAACTGAGCTATAATACCAGAGATCTAAGAAATCCAAGTTGTTCTATGTGAAACTCATTAAAAAAATTTTGACGAAAAGTCAGATTAAAACCGATTTTTCGATTAATAATAGAATTTTAATAGATTACAATGACACTATTTTTTATTTGATTTTAATATGATATCTGAATCTAAATGATGGATTGCATTTCATAATAATTATTTTTAATTTATTTTAATCGATTGTTAAAATTGCATAAATGACTATTCGATTGTTAATCAAAAACTTGATTTTAATCTGACTTTTCGTCAAAACCTTTTATATGGTTACAATAAGGAGCTAATAATAGATATAATCACAGTAACAGACATGAGATCCTATTTGTGTTACTATTTGATTCAACAGATTTCTTTCCAGATACGATCGAATTATCAATAAAGGCATTCCATTTACGCAACTTAAATTGACTCATACCATTTTAAACTCGAGACTAAATAATCCTTTAAGTTAACATACTTTCTCATAAGATTTGACTCTTTTTGTGTACTCAAAAAGTGAGTACACACTAGAATCGGTCAGTTTGTCCGTCCAGCCGGCCGGCCGGGCGTCCGTCCGTTTACACGATAACTTTTAAAAGGAGTCAGATCACGATGAAATTTTCTACACAATTCAGTCTTGACAATATCTCGGTCGAGTTCGAAGATGAGAAGGACTGGGCGAGCCCTTCCTGAGTTATTGCAAAAATACTCATTTTCCCTATACCTTCCCTATGGAAAGATCGACCGATTCCCGCTTTCGTAAACAACTTTTCCTATCATAGTTTACTAAAAGCCCCACTATTATATACCATTCGATAGAGAATTTCAAGAGCTACAAAATGGTATATAAAACATAAAGAAACAAGAAGGTTGACTCACCTATCACAAAGATAATTAACGAGAACTAATGTCGGCGCCAGAATGAAAGAGGGGTGAATATAAATTGAATAACTCAACAACGGCAAGAGCTACTGAGCTGCGGTTTTCACCAATCGAAAGAAGAGGAGTAAGCACGTCTTTTTCTCTGATAATGTATAAGACGAAATCCTTTTAAAGCTAATCATACTCGAAAAACCTAAAAAAGAATCCATGAAATGACCTGGCAGCTACATGAAATTTTAATTTTGACCTTTTATTTAGATAGAGGGACTTCAAAATCTATAGTTCAAGACACAATGCGCTTTCTTACTTTTTCTTACATTTCCATCAAAATCTCAAGCTACTAGGATAAATAGCGGGAAAATTGCGAAAAAATCAGCAAAATGCCCTATTATTTGCGCATGTAAGTGCATGATCCCATTTGCTCAGCGTTAGAATATAATAAGACAACGATTTGTATTGTATTTTGAGCTATAGATCTGAAGTCTCTCTGTCTAAATCAAAGGTCAAAATTAAAATTTCATCTAGCTGCCAGGTCATTTCATGGGTTCTTTTTTCAGGTTTTTCGAATATGTTTAGTTTTAAAAGGATTTCGTCTTATACATTATCAGAAAAAAAGACGTGCCCACTCCTCTTCTTTCGATTGGTGAAAACCGCAGTTCGGTAGCTCTTGCCGTTGTTGAATTATTAAATTTATATCCACCCCTCTTTCATTCTGGCGCCGACATTAATAATAAGTTAATGCTTATAATAGTATTAATTTATATCAGCTACAATACTTTTATATTAAAATTGTAACGTAAAAGTATTAGAATTAATCAGGGCTGCTGGCTGCGTCTAACCTTAAATTAATCAATACAAATTCAAATACTTTTTCTTAGGAACGGAAAACAAGAATATTGGTGTTAGCATTAATTTAATACTAACACTAATGCTAATGCACAACCCCTAGTGTCGCTTCTAGATTACTGTCTTGACATAGTATCTTTAACTTTTTATAGTTACCAGGTGGTAGTCTTTGTAACTTTTCAGGATCTCTCTAGGGGTACTTGGGATAACTTCTCCAGCGCTACGTAGGGATGCCGTCGCTGACTTCTGAAGGAGTGCCAATGGATACTCCAGGTAACTTTTCAAGCGGTATCTGGGGGTACCATTATTAACTGTTGAAGGACTGCCAAGGGGTACTTGGGGTAACTTTTCAAGTGCTCTCTAGGGGTACCATAACTGACTACTGCAGGACTGCTAAGGGATACTCTACGTAACTTTTCTAGCGCTATGCACGGGTACCGTTACTGAATTCTCAAGGACTGTCATGTGATACTCTACGTAGCTTTACAAGCGCTATCTAGGGGTATCATTACTGACTTCTGAGTGACTATCGTAGGGGCACTTGGGATAACTTTTCAAGCGCTACCTAGGAATAGCATTGCTGACTTCTCAAGGGCTGTCAAGGGTACTCTGGGTGAATTCCAAAGCGCTAGCTAGGAGTAGTATCACCGACTTCTCCGGAACTGCCATAAAGCATTCGAGGTAACTTCTCAAGCGCTGTCTAGGAATACTTTTACTGAATTCTGAAGAACTGCCAAGGGCTGCTCTGAGTAACTTGTCAAGCACGACGTTAGGGTAGAATCACTGACTTCTCGAGGGCTGCTTAGGGGTACTCTGGGTAACTTTTGAATGGCTATTCAGGAATAGTATCACTAGCTTCGGCTGGGCTATCTACGGTTACCCAGGCGAACTTTTCAAGTACTATTCAGAAGTGCTCTGGGTAGCTTTCCAAAGAATACCAGTAGGTACCCTAAGTAGGTTTGTTCATTGGTTAGCTACAGACCAATTTTGTAGCCATTTCAAGTGTCTCAGCATGATATCGACTATTAGGTCAGTGTTAAGATAATGGCATATAAGTGTATGTCGTTGGTAGTTTAAGAAACTATTAATGATCCTCTTTTCGATTCTGATTTTTTAACTGAATTATCGCTCATATGAAAGATGTCGAACTATGAATATGGTTTCTGAAGCCTCTTGTTTGTTTGTAACTAGGAAGCCAACGGTGACGATAACCGTAGGTGCGGTTATCGGTCCCACTACGGTAACCGTAGATACGGTTACCGGTCGAACTACGATATCCGTAGGTACAGTTATCGGTTCGAACCGGTTGTCAAGAAAAACAGCATTTTTTAAGAAAATACCGATAATTTGTAAAGGTTGACGAAAGTAAATCGGGGTCGAGGAATCCGAATCTGAAGTCAATTTTTGAACATTTCGAAATGAATTTTTTGGACAAAGGAAAGGGTTTTTTTTAGAAAAATAATGATACTTCATAAAGGTTGACGAAAGCAAATCGGGATCGGAGAATCCGAATCTGAAGTCAGTTTTTCAAAATTTCGAAATAAATTTTTTGCACAAAGGAAAGGGTTTCTTAGAAAAATAATGATATTTTATAAAGGTTCGAAAGGAAATCGGGGTCGGAGAATCCGAATCTGAAGTCGACTTTTGAAAATGTTGAGTTTTAGTTCTTCACATAGAATATTTTTCAAGGATAAACTTTTCTAGAAAAAAAGACGACTTTCAAGGAGCGGT